TGTTGTAATAGATTTGTAGAGGCTCAAAGCAGAAAGTTTTCTTCTCTATTTCTCCTTCTCCTCAACGTGAAGTATCTGAGACTGAGATATTAACTAACATGACCATTCTTCCACAGCTGCTATGACATGCTACAGCTGGCTCTCCATACCTCTGGGTTCTGCATCCACAGATTCAAGCAACAGTGTATCAAAAATATTTGGAAAACAAAATAACGACAATTTAAAAAATACAAATAGCAAATACAGTATAACTATTTACCTAGCATTTACATGGTATTAGGTAATATAAATAATCTAGAGATACATTAAATTATACCAGAAGATGTGCATGGGTTATATGCAATTACTATGTCATTTTATTTCAGGGTCATGAGCATGCATGGATTTCGGTGTCTGAGGGAAGTCCTGGAACCAATCCCCTGTGGATACCGAGGGATGACTATTTCCAAAGATGGTGGCAACATTATCTCCCATTCTAAGTGCCATTCTGAATTGTGACTTTGATATCTCCCTCATTAAGAGATGGGTCTTTTCTTTTCTTCCCTAAAATCTGAGCAGGCTTATGACTTGCTTGAAACCAACGAAAGGCAGTGGATGTGATACTTAGTGACTTTCCAAGTTAGGTCAGAAAATGTGTTGCAATTTTGACTTTATTTGGTGAAATACTCCTCCTAAAACCAAGAGTCTCAATATTGAAGCCTGGCCATGGTAAGGCTGCTGTACTGTAAGGAAACTCAAATCAGCCCATATAAAAAGATTGCATGGAGAAGCTCTGAGACTACATTAAGAGAGAGAGATGCCTGGCCGTCATCCGCACACACTAGATATCTGCTCTTCAACCCTAGCAATCATATCATCGAAAATGCACGAGCAATCCCAAGCCTTGTCTGGTCAAGCCTTTTCTGGATTTCTGACACACAGAAACTTTAAGAAATAATAGAGTGCTGTTGTTTTAAGCCACTGAGTTTGGGTGTGTTCATTCTAATTTGGTTAATTTTTAAACCTGCTTGATCACCAAAAATATTTTTAGTGGAAGGCGAGTAATATAACATCCTTAACATAACTTGAAATTTGCATTCCACCAGGAAAACATTTTGGAAAATATCACCCTATATTCACCATGTAAATTTTGGTTAGTAATTTGGTTTCCCAAAGACCAATTTCTATATGAGAGACGATTGTACCACAGTCAACATATATATTTATGACTCGGTACAAGTGGGTAGATTGACATTCTCACTTATCAATCATGCTTAAGTTTGATTAGCATGAATTAGTTCCCAGAGCCTCCTCACTTGGAACAAAAATATCAAGTCCTTAATGAAGAAGTCTGGCCTCCATGCCTCGCGTGGATGGTGACCCTTCAATGGAATTAAGTAGAATTTCTACTGATCTATTTTAACTACAAGAGAGCATACCTAATTTATTTATGTGACTTTTCTATCTCAGACAAGTCTTCTACTCCAGAAAAATAAAAGATCAGGATCTGTCGGGAATTATTAGAAGATATTTTGCCATTTGTACTTACCAAACTCTTAACTAGAAACTCCAAAATTTCAAGAGAAGTTTTCACAAGAGTCTTCCTTAGATTCTGGGTACAAATAATGCTGTTTGGAATCTAGGGAGCCAGAGGTTGAAAAGAGAGAACTCACCTTACTTCTGCATTAATCTGTGAATGTCTTTTGCTACTTCAAGAATAACAGGTTTTGGAAATTTCTGAGAAGAGCCCCTTTGGCTCTCACAGTGAGATTTCTCATAATAGGCAACATCAAAGCAATAATGCAGACTGAAGAGAAACCCAAGAGACAAGGCTTTAGAGAAATGTTCTCTATTCAAATAAAAGTCTACTTACAGAAACAGATACCAAGGAAGGAGTCTGTCTTTTCCTTCCAGGGTCACTCATCCATACACATAGTTTTATTTAAGATGTATAAGCTAGCTATTCCCATATTTCTATTTCTAGTACAGACTTCACATTTGAACTCCAAATGATATGTATAACTGTCTACAAAACTTCTTGATTTGGATCTCTCACAAGTACTTCAACATCAACATATTCAAAACTTAAAACATGGATGAATCCTTAAATCTCACTCTCCTTCAATTTCCATATCTCAATGAATGGTACTATCATCCAGAGAGTAGTCAATCTTTTCCCTCATTCTCATATTTCATATAATATTATTACCAATCTATTTGATCTACTTAACATTTGTACCATCGGCTAAATTATTTCCCTTTCCATTGTCACCATTGAGCACAGATTACAACAACTCTTGCTTGAACTACTATAGTGATCAGGATTCTGTATTTCAGGCAAAACAAATCAACTCTGGGTAATTTATTCAGAAAAATCACATAAAGATATTGGGTAGGTCACTGATGACTGGGGAACACTAGTGAGGTCATTTTAGGAGAGCAAAAAAAAAAAAAGAAAAAAGAAAAAAAAAACATGGGAAGTAAGACTGCAGATAACAAAGCCTTCAGAGTTACAGTTCAGTTTGGGAGCATTTGACGGCCAAGATTGGGAAATAAGATTGGGAAATTCCCAGCCATCAGGGAAGGGACATATCTGACTCACTTTGGCTTTGGATTCACCTAATGGTAGTCTCATCCAGCTTAGAAGCAGATCTTGATCTTGGGCTGACAAAAGCCATATTATTCTCATAAACATCAACTTAGTTTCTAAGGTAGATTAAAGGTAACCTCGAATTCTTTGCATCTTCCTTCCCCTTGAGAACTGAAACAAGACAAGGAAGCCCACTCTCACCACTTCTATTCAACAAAATACTGGAGTGCTAGACAGAGCAATTAGGCAAGAGAAAGATATAAAAGCATCCAAATAGAAAAAAAAAAAAAAAAAAACAAAGTCAAACTATCTCTCTTCATGGATGATACAATTCTATATTTAGAAAACCCTAAATACTCCACGAGAAGGCTCCTGGAACTGGTAAAGGACTTTAGCAAAGCTTCAGGATAAAAATCAATGTACATAAATCAGTAGCATTTAGTAGCATTTCTATATACCAATAACACTGAAGCTGAGAGCCAAATCAAGAATACAATTCCATTTACAATAGGCACAAAAAAGGAAAATACCTAGGAATACATCTAACCAAGGAGATGAAAGATCTGTACAAGGAGAACTACAAAGCACTGCCAAAGAAAATCATACACGACACAAACAAGTGGAAAAACATTCCATGCTCACAGATAGGAAGAATCAATGTTGTTAAAATGGTCAATAATGCCCAAAGAAATCTACAAATTCAATACTATTCCTATCAAACTAACAACATCATTGTTCACAGAATTGGCAAAAACTATTCTAAAAATAACATGAAACCAAAGAAGAGCCAAAAGCAATCCTAAGCAAAAAAAAAAAAAAAAAGTCAGAGGCATCACATTACTTGACTTCAAACTATAAGGTTACAGTAACCAAAACAGTATGGCACTGATACAAAAACAGACACACAGGCCAATGCAACAGAAAAGAGAACCTGTAAATAAAGTCACACACCTACAGTAATCTAATCTTTGATAAAATTGACAAAAATAAGCAAGGGGAAAGGACTCTCTATTCAATAGATGTTGCTAGGATAACTGGCTAGTCACATGTAGAAGAATAAAACTGGTTCTCTATCTTTAACCATAGAAAACATTAACTCAAGGTGGATTTAATAAATGTAAGATGTCAAACTATAAGAATCCTAGAAGAAAACCCAGGAAACATTATTCTGAACATTATCCTTGGGAAAGAATTTATGACTAAGTCCTCAAAAGCAATTGCAAGAAATTGCAACAACAACAACAAAAAATTGACAACTGGAACCTAATTAAACTAGAGAGCTTCTGCGCAGTAAGAGAAACTATCAACAGAATAAACAGACAAACTACAGAATGGGGGAAAACACGTGCAAACTAGAAATCTGACTAATGTCCAGATCTATAAGGAATTTAAACTATTGAAAAAGCAAAAAATAACTAACCTTGTTTAAAACAAAGGGCAAAAGACATGAACAGACACTTCTCAAAAGAAGACATAAAAGTGGCCAACAAACTTATTTTAAAAAGCTCCTCATCACTAATCATTAAATAAATGCAAATCAAAACCACAATGAGATACCATCTCACACTAGTCAGAATGGCTATTACTAAAAACTCAAAATACAATAGATTTTGGCAAGGTTGCAATGAAAAAGGAATGCTAAACACTCCTGGTGGGAATGTAAATTAGCTCAGCTATTGTGGGAAGCAGTTTGGCAATTTCTCAAAGAACTTATAACAACTATCATTTAACCCAGCAATTCCATTACTGGGTATATATCCAAAAGAAAACAAATCATTCTACCAAAAAGATGACATGCATTTGCATGTTCATCACAGAACCATTCACAATAGCACAGACATGGAATCAACCTAGGTGCCCATCAATGGTGGATTGGATAAAGAAAATGTGGTACATATACACAATGGAATATTATGTAGCTACAGAAAAGAATAAAATCATGTCCTTTGCAGCAGCATGGATGCAGCTGGAGGCCATGATCCTAAGCAAGTTAACCCAGGAACAGAAAACCAAATACTGTTTGTTCTCATTTACAAGTGGGAGTTAAACACTGGGTACTCATAGACATAAAGATGGGAGCAGTAGACACTGGGGACTACTAGATGAGTAAGGGAGAAAATACAGTAAGTGTTGAAAACCTATTGGGGACTATTCTCAGTATCTGTGTGATGGGATCATTTAGAACTCAAACCTCAGCATCATGCATATACCCAGGTAACAAACTGCACATGTAAGGCATAAATCTAAAATAAAGTTGAGAAAGAAAAAGATTAAATTAAATTAAAAATTAAAGATTATTTTCTTCTTTTCCTTTAGAGGTGTGTGGTCTAAATCCTCTTCCCATGAATCTAGGTTGGCTTCTCTGAGTGCTTTAATTCATGTTTTGCAATTTCTAGACTCAAGTCCTTAAAAACTGAACGAATTTACTTACTGTTTTTTGGAGCATTCACTCTTAGAACCTCAAGGCTAGCATCCTGTTAGAAGTCCAAGCTATATGGAAAGGCACTGAAAGATAAGATGTTCTCTAGGGGAGAAGAAAATATTAAAAGATTGATAGGTGAATGGATGAATGGATGGATAGATAGATAGATAACCAAGCCAGCAGATATGTAATATCTTGGAAGGAAATCTTCCAGCCCCGGCTACTCCAATTACCACCATGTAAATCAGAGAACTGCCCAGCTGAACAGTCTCCTTGCATCATTTATCCTTGAGTTTCTTCTGTCTTCTGTACTGTAGCCAGAGTTATTTGTCTTAAAATATATTTATATCATATTACAATGGTTAGCACTTTTCAATAGCTTCTCAATGCTTTCAGTATCAAAATCAAAATCTTCAAACATTATCTTCAATGTCCTGAATGATATATCCCCACTATCTGCCCCACTCTTTGACCTTCAGTTACATTTATTAAGTTCCTCCAAAATGCTATACTTCAGCTCAGAATCTTCATATCTGCTATCCCCTCTACTGGAAGCCCTTCTTCCATTTATTGAGCTTTTCTCTAGTTAACTCTTACTCATTTTTCAGTTTCGACTATCAGTTTTTCATGAAAACCTTCCTGTGTTCCCCAGGCTAGATCTGTCTCCCATAGCTCCTATATTTCTCCAACAGACCAATCACATATTAATTAAATAAACCATCATGAAAAATATATTATCATTTATCCATTTTTTTTTCTAGAAATGAAAGATGTAAAAGATCAAGGATTGTACATCTTGTTTTTCATTATATTCATATTGCCTTGCACCATTATTTGCACATGATAGACATGCAATAAATATACTTCTCAGACTTCAAACGTGCAGATGAATCACCTGGAGGTCTTGTTAAAACGCAGATTTTGACTCAGTAGGTCTGGAATGAAGTCTCAGAATCAAGTCTCTGTTTCTAAAAAGCTCCTAGGTGATGCCATTGTTGTTGGTTCTGTGGACCACTCTGAATAGCAGGGCATAATTAAGTCCTGTGGGTAACAAGGAGTAACCAATTGGGATTAGTTAATATTTTAAACCTGTGCTATCATTTTAATTTGGTTCAATTAATTTCAACAAACAATTATTGAGCCAGGTATTTCCCAGGATAGGTTAAACAGGAATAAGATATGGTCAGTGCACTCAGAAAGATTACAGTGTAATAGGCATAACTAAAATATAAACAAATCAATGTGGAAAATGTGCTATAATAAAAGTAGACCATAAAGATGTATTTGGGCATGAAAGAGAAAGTTCTCAACTCAAATTGGGGAGCTCAGGAAATTAGAAACTCATTGGTAATTTACCACAACTGTAAATCACTGTGCTGTTTTGTTTTGTTTTGTTATCCTATATATGTCCACCTGAATGGAGTTATTAGAAAACTAATGACTTCAATAATTAGCCTGACTTCCATATTTCATTTTCAGAATGAGCTATGAAACACTTTAGTCCTCTTGTGTACTATGGGAAGCATGTTTGTTTGTTGTCTTTTACTTCTTTCTGATGTCTGTTTATCTCTTTCATTTTCTGGATCAAGTTGCTGTACAATCTGTCATTTCTATCTTCAACTTGGTAAATCCTTTCCAGTCTTTATAGTTAGATTTGAATTAGAAAACAAAATATGCTAGATAAAGCAATAAGAGAGTGATGAAGATGGGCACAGACTTGGGTGGAGCCCTTGATTCAGTAGTTTGGTCTTTCAAGGAGAAATAATTATCTTTCTTCTTGCTTGGATGTTTACCCAATGGGATGAACCTATTTTAAAATTAGAGGCTGAGTTTCCCTCATTCAAAACTTGGGGTACAGAACCACATTTCAATGTTTGTGTCTACCTTTAGCTTTATTGCCCTTACAATCCCCTGGGCTTCTCTAGGGAATAATTATCATTCTTTTAAGTTCTTCATTTTCCAGCATAAAACCTTCTTTAACCACTTTTAAAACATTTCTCCTGAGAGGAAGCTAATTAGATACACCCTTCTGATTATTACTTAATCATTATTTTGGGAGCACCCAAAGTGTTCTAAGTATAGGCAATTTCTAGCACCAAATCCTTATTCAGAGATTAGTTGTTTCTTAATTTGGGCCCTTGAAACCACGGTGCTTATCCCATTTATTAATATTTATTAGCACCCGCAAAGGGCAAGGTGCTCCCCTTTTTCTCGAACATAGAATCACTATAGTTCCTGTCCTCTGAGGGCTCTCCATGCCTTGCCTCATCTTGCTTTTCCAGTCAAGCCAATGTGTTACTTCAGAATAATCTCTTTGACCCTAGTTTATATGAAACACTTCCCTCTCCTATCACATGCATCTACTAGATTTTTGTTGCCCATGAATGAAATTTAAATTCATTTGCATTTCAAGCATTTATTTATTTTTTTCCTGCTATTTCTGCAACAGTGAAGCCATTTCCTAAAATTCATACTTTCTCAGAATGTCTGCTACTTAAATGAGAAGTAAAAAGGGGGAAAGATACCTTCAGGGTTGGATTTTTGTGTCTACTCATATCCCTCTGGATAGAAATCCATTTTCTCTAAAGTTGTGATGGCAGCTATTTAGCTTAGGAGTCAGTGATGACATGTTTTAAACAAGATGTGTGTCTTAGGAAAGCAACACGCCTCTGTTCGGAAGAATCAGCACATTGCCACCTTCTACTTTCCAAAATGCAGCCACAGCACTCAGCTCTAAGTGTCTCCTGTGTTCAGGAAGGTAGAGAGAATAGTTGCTCCAGCTAGGAATGTAGATCATATTCTCAGAGGTTGAATATTATTACAATTACTTTTTCCAGTTTATGTTTTTATTTCAATGATAATGCATATATAATTCTGAATGATCTGCTTGCCAACCTTATAACTAGGTCCTGCCCATAGGATGCCAGTACCAGTTATGATTTATGTTGATGAATACATTGGTGCCCATTGCTTTCAAAATGGATAGAATTTAATTTTAAGCTTACGGTGTTAAATAAATACTGCCACTACGATTAATGCTGGGTGGCTAACTGATGTGCATGTACATTCTTAAAGATGAAAGACTTATCCAACTTGAGCAACCTTGGTTAATGAAAGGCATGGACTCTGAGAAAGCCACTCCCGTATTCTAATTCAAGTTCTGGCAATTTACTAGCACATTGGCTTTTTCGAAAATCTCTTAGCATTTGTGAACTTCAGTTTCCTCACCTATGAAATGAGGTTTATAAAAGAGCTATCAAGACTATAGAAGTGCAGTGAAGATTCAGATAATGCATGGGTGCTTATCTGGTGCATAACAGGTATTTAGGAAATGATAGCTACAATTATTATTATATTTTGTCCTGTGAATTAATTTAAGTTCAGCACCTTCTGCATTAATTTTTTTCCCTCTGAAGAGGGGGAGATGCTTAAACTCATGGGCATAATTTTTGAAATAGAACTGACTTCCAATGAGTATCATAAAGCTACTGGCCATATATCTTGTTTAATATAGTGTACTATTTACTTTCAATATAGGTATCCATTATTATTATTACTTGAATACTGTGACAACTGTTACCCCTATTAATACTTCTGGAGATTTCTGAAACTGGTAGGAATATAGAAACCCAATGGAAGAATGAAAACCACAGAAATCAAGAATAGTTACCTACTGAGTGAAGAATGAGTGGTACTCACACTGTTTTACTGTATTTATCTAACTATTACATTCTGTGTGGTCCTAAACTAGCTCTCTCATTCACACAGGCAGCAAGAAATTCTTCACTGGGCCTAATAAAATAAAAGATAAAATTGCAGGGGAAAGATATCAAGACAGTAATCTATTGGTTTAGATAGATCAAATGCCTGACTATATTGTTTATGGGAAATAAGGGTTATCCCTACTCCTCACACTTTGCTATTTTCTAAAATGGATCCACTTTGAGATGTGATTTTTCCCCCAAGTTAGTCCAATTGGATTCCATCTATCATAATTGTGATGAATAGCAAGTGATTTGTTTCATTACGTTTTTTAATGGCTGTAGTGGGTAAAGCTATTACATGAAAAGCTGTGGTTGTGTTGTTGTGAAGCTTCCAAGGATAGAATTTTCTCTTCACTCTTTGTTTTTGCAATAGGCTCTCTTGCTCCAACAGGGATGCACACTGAGTTTTAAATCCTTCTCCGCTTGACTTGAGGGAATTTTCTTTTTTATCTGTATGTCATTGAAAAGTCCAGTATGCAGGCACTTTACAGCCAGCCAGGACATGAAAATGGCATAAGCAATATAAGAGCTGGAACTGGTGTAAAAAATTACCATTCCTGATAGATAACAATGGAGCAAATACATTTGAAAATGTAACATACACATCTGAAAAATGACTACAATTCTCATGAACCTCTTTATTTGGTCCAATACCAACTTTTATATCTGACGGTCTCTTTTATAAATCAGTAAAAAGCTGAGTGGAGCTGGCCTCGGAGAAGACAAGATGCATAGGATCTTGTAAAGTATTTGTATGATATATTCATGAAGGGGCTAAGGCTGCCTTATGTCTTTCATGCCAAGCATAATCTTAAACAAGTTTCGACCTTAACTTAAAGATATTTTAATGTATCCATTTGACTCACAAACTCAAGCTCATATTAAATTCAAAAGAAAGCCCCTCAAAGCTCAGTTTCTAAAACACATCAAGTAAGATTTTATACATTTCTTAATTAATCCAGATGTCATCAAAGGTAATTCTTAATTAGCTGACTGTCTACCCTTGAATCAATGACAATGGTGGTTGCCAACAGCGGGGGAACAAGACAGGCCTTGTTACCTCTGGGTCATTTTAAAGGTGATTTTAATATTCTCAGTAACTTTCATTCCTAAGAGTAGAATCCTGCTGTAACTCAGTCATCGGAAAACCGTGACCTTTTTGAATACAGCTTAATTGTAATTACTTCCCTAGTAGTTTTAATTTTTTAACTAACCTACAAGCATACCCAAAAGTTGCTAACAAATATTTACCAGAAATTCAAGAATGAAGAAAATTTACTGGAATCATTTTGAATTTAATAGTCTTTGTTATCCTAAAGCCTACAGTGCTTTCCTATGGATTATTTCATCTGTGTTAACACCGTCTTTGGAAAACTTGTAGGAATACTGGTCTTGCCCTGGTTTTAGACAGGGGAGAGAGGATACAAAGTGGGTGACTAACTGAAGCCTATGAAATATCAGGACACAGACCCCACACTTTCAGCCTGTTCTGTGCCCTTAGACTGCCCATGATAAATGTGCCTGGTGGGCATCTCTCTTCCTTTGAAAAAAACATGCATATTCATATGTTTGAAGTCAGCCAAGACTATTGACATGGACTACAATGTGTTGAAAAGAAGGGGCAGCTAAAAAGAATGATAAAGGCACTTGAAAGAAAAAAATGTAATAATTGAAATGTCTTCTATCTTAAGAGAGAGAGAAAGAGAGAGAGAGAGAATAGATGGACCATATATGAAGCAAATAAAACAAGAAAATAAACATAAAATGAAAAATGCAATTGATTTTGTATCTTCAAGTGCTTCACTTACAGGATGGGAGAACGCACAATTTAGCTTGTTTGGGTTTAGTCCTCCTAATATATTCTACAGAGTAATTTATTTTCAGGAAAAGCCTCACTGCAGTGCTCCTATTATGATAATGGGAATTTATGCACATGAGTATTTGTGATCACATCACAGAGCAGTTTTTGGAAGAACTATGGGGAAAGGGGAAAATTAACATTATAAAAATAGAGATGAAAGCTTTAAAAAAAAAACCTCTAAACTCTCAATCTATCACTCAATCTACACACACACACACTCACACACACACACACGCACACGCAATTCCATGGTGAATTATCTTATTTGGGCTGAGTGCTTCTCCAGTGAAGAACAAAACTTGTGAGTAAAAAGCGGCATAATGCATCGAATGCTTGCATGGATTTGTTGATGAGAAGGTCGCTGCCCCTGAGATTGGAAAACATAGTTCCAGCAGCCCCGGACCTCTCTGACCACA